ATTTAATCTTCAAAATAGTTTTATCTAAATCTCAGATCAAAGTTATTCTTTGAAGGTCCCACATTCCAGAGAGAAGAGTGGGGGGGGGGGGCTAATTATGCTGAATTGCAAACACAGAAAATTAATACCTTTCATAGCGCAATGCCTGTCATCCTGTGGTAAATAAAAGGATGCTTTTAATTTATTTGTGCTAACATTAATTGGTCTTGCATTGCTAGTCTGAGTGGCCACAAGGTTATACTTTCTTCCCAAAGGCATGGCAGAGAATATTAAGTAGACACCTATGATGCCTATTTGGCTTGTTGGCAGAGGAAATCATCTTCCTTGTCAAGGCTCATAATCACACCATCATTTGAGGACTCACACTCTGAAAGGCCTTTTAAATGAATGAATATATTAAGATATATTCTACCCCATTACAAAGAATCACAGAGTTGCAAGATGTGATGAAGGAAAAGGAAAGCAGAAATCATGCTGGGTATCTTACACATGTGTTATGTTCCCCTTCTGAAGTGGTTGGACATTTTTGACTAATGTGGAACATGAACATTCAGTTCAAGGTTATGGGAGTGGAGTTGAGCATGTGGTGCCATCGTTGCAGGCAGATGCATGTTGTGCATTGATGTACCATGCCCATGGAACATGAATGTGCTTTGCATGGATGTTACATGGAAGTGTGTTATGCATTGTGTGCCTATGCGCACGCACATTTGTGACCTTGTCACACACGCCACCAGAATTGTGGTGTCTTGCCGCATCCTGGCGGCACTCCTGCAGGGGTCATGGAGACCTGTCACCCCATGCCCTACTCTATCACGGCTTCCCCCCTGCCTCATCACATAGGGGAAAGCCTGTTTTTGGCAGTTCATTCAATCTTTATAATGGAAAGATGGGGAATCTGCTTTTGTCTACTGCTGCTATTTTTTTTTGCCATGGCAGCACTTCAGCCATAGAAGTAGTTCTCTGGGATGTGAGGGGAGCCACTGGGCTCTATGACTGAAGGTAAAAACTCCTATTGCTACTCCCAAAAATAAGCAAGTGTGGATTGTCCACTTGATGCCTATGGACTTCTTCACTCGTCCCTTCCCCCTGTCCCTTCCCCCTGTACCATTTCACCAGCAGTTGCCAGTGAAACAACAGGCACGCGGGGCACCTCATGGTGCCCTGTGCATGTTCCCTTCCTCCTTCCTTCATTGGATGAAGGAATAGGACAATTTGCGTTGGCACCCTGTCCCCATCAGGGACAGTTAAGCAATCTGGGTAGTTCTGTTAATGTGAATGTGAGTAGGAATCTCCTGAAAGTCCTACAGATACACTAGAGAGGTTAAAACTTTGAGGGCCTGATAAATGTTTGAGTGATTATTTGTGGTGGAGCCAGGGCATATGGCCCCAGCCCCCTAAGAGGTCTCCTGTGCAGGTTTAACACCAAAACATTGCTCATAAGAAGCAGAGCTCTTGCAGAGTTTCATGATTCTGTGTGCGGAGGCTGCCTGTGTACGTGTCAGGTGAGGCAATACTGTACTCAGGCTGTTCTTTCAATGATGGGGATTTTTAACACGTATCAGTTGGTAATGGAGAGATTCCCCCTCCTCTTCCTTTCCCTGAATGTCAATTGCAGTTTTTCGTCTTTCCTATGTGGAAGTAAGCTGCCCTCTAGTGAAAAAGTAGATTAAAGCCAACTGCTTTACTCCTTTTGTTAAGCTATATTGTTGGACTGACCTTGTAAGCAAGAGTCTTTGCAGACAGTAGTAAACTATAGATAAAAATTACATAGACCCAATTAACCTCTAATCGCTGTGTTTTCATGCTGTGGTTAGTGTCATTTGTTCTGTTAACTTATTTACTGGAAAATGTTGGGATTTTTGCCATCAGGATACCTATCAAAATTCATAAAAATATTACTAGTAAGAAGAAAAAGTAAAATACTGGCATAGAAATAACTACAGCACAAAATATAAAATCACAATAGCAAGTTAAAAATCCATTAAAACCCCATGTTGGCTGCTATCGTTTTAAAAACCTGTAGGAATCACCTTTGTCCTGAATGAACCCTTTCCATGATCTTTTTGTTTGTTTTGCCAATGGAGAGTCCATAGGAGTGTGGATGGGTGTGCTCAGACAAATGGCTGGCTATGACCCTGTAACCTAATACATAACAGGTCAGAGGGGAGAAGGGCGGTGTATAAATATGGGTAATAAATAAATAAATAACAATGACATCATCCTCCAGGGTGTTTTGAAGACTTGCAAATTGTCCTGGTGGGTGGCTTTGTCATTCTGTTTATGACTATACGGACATAACTAGATTATTCTACACCAGGCTCTACTCTCTGCCAAATACTCCATGGCTGTTGGCTGGTGGTAGTGCAAGAATAAAATTAAGGAAGACTGTTTAGGAATGATAGTTCTGTCTTGGCAAATCCTGTAGCAGGGTGGTGATTCATAGGCTTCCTTGAGACGTTCTCTGCTACTTTCCTTTTTCAATCCCACCCCACACATAGCAGCAGATTAACTTAATATGTGTAATAATATTAAGTTAAAATTCATTGATAATATGATAACAGTTTAGGGTATGTCTGAAATATCCCTCTGTAGGAGCTTTGATAGGCATGACAAACAGAATGGGATGTATTACACAAGTGTGCCCAGCTTTCTATTAGTGCACAACTGCAGGTGTAAACTTTTAGAAACCTTTGGTAGGATTCAATTACTTTTGGAAGAAGGTCACATGATGCTTGCAGCATTTTGTAATAAATTATCTGCTCAAAGGTTTTAAATATTATCGGGGTTCACAGCATAAACTCTAACCAACTGGTGTTCCAAAGTTCACTGCTTCCCCGTAGACAAACTAGAAAATGCTATCAGCTCCCACTTTTTATCCTTGTACACTTCTCAGACCCACTGTGGACTCAGTGCAGGCTTCTCCTCTGACTCATTACAGTCTTCTCCTGGTCTTGTGCTGATCATTCTCTCTCTCTCTCCTTTTCTGATGCTGGGAAAGCTGCACTTTTCACAGCTATTTTGAAGAGTGCAGCCAAGCTCTGAGGAAAGGTGAAAGTGCGTAGATAATTTCATCAACCCTGCTAATCCAACAGTTCTGATGCTCCAACCCTCTGAGACTGGGCTCAATTAGGGTACCACTTAACACCAAGTGAAATGTGACATGGCAGAATTGTAATTTTGCACATTTATTCATGGTTAAGACTACTGAAAGGAAGGATCAAGACTGGAAAGAGTGGAGGAGGAGAGAAAATGACTTATTTAATCATTTAATTCCATGCCCAAATAAATGAAGCAAGAAATATTATATAGTGAGACCATTGGTCTATTTGATTCAGATCTCCCTACATTGGTGAATGTACCACCTCGTCACACAGGCAACACTGTCCTGCAACAGTTTAACCTCAGGCAATGCAGATCTACTTCTGGCAGGGTTCCATTCCTGAACTGAGGTGAAACTGTCATAAGAAGAATGGGGGAGGCAGGTGGTGATGTTTCCCCCAGTGGGAAAAGGTAAGGGACAATGTGGGCAATCCAGATGCAGGGCAACAGGTTCCCCACATCCCCCATCAGATTCGCCACAATCCATGGTGAATCCCCTGCTATCACCTACAATTTTGACTTCAATTTGATGAAGTCCATAATCTCCTTCAATGTCCCACTTCTTCCAAATTATATAAGCCTCTTCTGGCAACAGGCAATGTAATGAACCCAGCTATTTAAATTATTCTTGTTTGATTCTGGCATTTCTGAATCATAATCATGACCTCTTATAGTAACAGCTAGAAAGGTATATCACATCTATCATATTTACTGACTGCATGTTTACTAGTTATAGGCATCTGCTTTTGAGGAGAAAATTTGCCCATTCTTTAAAAAAATCCTAAATTGGGTCTTGCCCAGGAATGGCCTTTGTTTACCCAATTAAAATTTTTTTTAATTGCCCTATACTTATCTCGTGATGTTTTGTATTGATGTTTGTTCACCACTTTGAGTCGCCTGAGGGCTGAGAAAAGCAGTATATAAATAAAGTAAGTAAGTAAGTAAATAAATAAATAAAGTAAACCTGAAGTCCAGGGAGCATGGGAGCTAAAAATTAAGAGCAACCCAGTATGGGAGCTATTTTGAATAAAAGATTTATTTACTGGAAAGGAAAGGGGGACCCTTGGAACTGCCGGTGGCTGATATGGTGCACATTCTCCATCACTGAATTTGTTTTTATTGTGATAGTGCCTTTAAAGTCATGTTCAGCTTACGATGATCTTAAGGTAAACATTTGTTCAGTGGTGTTTGCCAATGCCTCCCTCTGAGACCGAAAGGGTGTGACTTGTCCCAAGGTTACTCAGTGGTTTTCCATTCCTGTGCAGTGATTAGAACCCTTTTGCATGCTGGCTTTTGCCCTTGAATTAACACATGGCACATAACAAACCTTCTATAAGCAAAAGATTTATTTTATAAAATACATTTCCAGGTATTTATAACATTTATCTTCTCTGCCAATATAAAGCATGGTCAGCTCTATAGTTAAGGTAAAGATAAAGGCTTTCCCCTGTCATTAAATCCAGTCATGTCCAACTCTGGGGGTTGGTGCTCATCTCCATTTCTAAGCCAAAGAGCTGGTGTTGTCTGTAGACACCTCCAAGGTCATGTGGCCAGCATGACTGCAGGGAATGCCGGTACCTTTCTGCCGGATCTACTCACATTTGCATGTTTTTGAACTGCTAGATTGACAGAAGCTGAGGCTAACAGTGGTAGCTCACCCTGCTCCCCAGATTTGAACCGGTGACCTTTCAGTCAGCAAGGTCAGCAGCTCAGCAGTTTAAGCCACTGTGCCACTAGGGGCTCCCCATACAGTTAGCCAGGATAAAATAGGACATGTGCTAAGTTGTTGATGATCAGAGGTTTCATATTAATAAAATAACCATAATTGAAATTAGCTTGGTTGCAAAATAATAAGAATAAGAATAAAAAAACTTTATTTATGGACCATCCTCTCTCCCTGAGGGGACTCATGGTGGTTTACATACCAAAAAGCAAACATTCAATGCCATAAACACATTCAAACACATCAAAACAAAACAAAAGATACAAAATAACATGAGTCAACTTACGACAAATAAAAAGAATAAAAATACAAATAAAAGAGGGATACAAATACTCAAATAAACATAATTACCCTAATCACATAATAATAACAAAGTAGAATACAATTCCACCTTCAGTTCAAACCACTTAGATCGGGGTATGCACCTTCTCATCTTGGCCTCAAGAAGAATATTTCTTGGGCCCATCCTAATCTGCAGACTCTTCTAACCAGTGTTTAGGAGGTTGGATTCAATCTTAGGAGTGGGGAGAATAAGACAATACTTCAGTTTCATCAGATTTATAAGACAGTTGTTGATTCTGGGACTTTGTTGGTTTTATCCGGTGAACTGTTGGACACAGCAAAGTTTTGTGTCTGTTGTACCTCCTCTGGCTGGCTGGCAGGAAAGTCACACTTGAACATGTTCCAGATCCCTGTTCTGCCAGTTTCACTCACAAAACAATAGAGAATTGGGTCAGCTATACAATTTATGCTTGTAAGTGCAGTTGTGATTCTGTAGGGTAGGAACATCCGTCTGGCAACAATGCAGTTACACGGTTCCCAGATGCTTCGCAGAAACAGAACAACATGGTAAGGAGTGAAACATAAAAAGAAAATGACAATTATGCTCAACAATAAGTTTTTGATTTTCCTCTTGTCACGTTCAAGTGTTGCTTGATTATTCTCCACAGCTCGGTATATTTTCTGGTAGCAAAACACCATGATAAACAAAGGGATCGCATATCCCACTCCGACCCGATAAAAGTTCATCCAAGCTTGCCATTTTTTAAGAGGGTATGTGTCATAGCACAAAAGGAGTTTGGCATGTTGTGAGAAATTTTGTTCTTCAAATAGCTCCTCCCGTTTTAGAAACTGATAGTTTGACATGATTTCAAAGGCCCAAACTAAGGTGGAGATCAGTAAGGCGGATCTTCTTGTCCGTAAATAATGGAACCTTAGTGGATGAACAACAGCCAAGTATCTATCGAGGGAAATGCAGGTGAGAAATCCTGAACTTGTGTAGTAATTTAGGTATTTAAGAAAAACAGACAACCTGCAAAGGGGAGAGGAAAATATCCAGGAATCTCCATTCTGTGCATAATGAATCCATAGAGGCAGAGTTAGAATATAAAGTAGATCAGCTAAAGATAGACATAGGAGATAGATACCTAGTTCATTTTTTTTCTTCACTTGGCAGCAGGAAATGAAAAGGGATGCAAGGTTGGCAGGGATGCCGATGATCATCAAAAGACTGTAGAGAACAGGAAACAAATATGTATCTAGCCTGTGATCTATTTCACACGTATTATTATCTTCAGTACAGTTCATGCTTCTGGTAGGAATACCTGGTCCCAGATGGAGAGATGTTTATGGTTTCTTCTTATGGCTCCTCCTCCAACTGGGTTACAAAATGGTGAATCATAAGCTCTTATGCAAATAATGACTATGCTTCATTAAAAAGCACAGACTTCAATCATTGGTTTCTTTCCACTTTGCTGTAAAGGGAAGAAAAGTAAAATTGGATGGCTCAAGAGAAAAATGTCAAAGAAATGCAAAACAAAATTAGAAAAGTGTTGGAAACAGTATCTTATGTGCAGTTATTAGGCCCAATTAGAGTGACCTCATTGAATCAATGAACCTTTACAGAGTAAGAAAAAAACCCACCCCCACCACCAACAAACCCCAGACTCATCTTCATCACCCTTTCCCTGCACTGATCAGCACAGGCAAAGGGGATGCCTCAACTCTATGTTGCTGTCATTGATCCTCGAGCCGCAGAGATCACTGCAAGTACCTAGATATTGCAACTGCATTTGTTGTCAAAATGGGACACCCATGTGACTAGCAATAAGGAGGGGGGTCAATCCACATCTTTTAACTGGCCAGAGGTTCCCTATTCTGACATCAACAGATGTCACAGACAATTGCAGTGAGCTCCATGGCTTGTGAGGAACCACTACAATAACACGGAGGACAAGGTGACATCTGTCCTGGGCCCGGTTTCATTCAACATCTTTATTAATAACTTAGTTGAAGGGTTAGAAGGCCTGATCATCAAGTTAGCAGATAACACCAAATTGGGAGGGATAGCTAATCCTCCAGAAGACAGGAGCAGAATTCAAAATGATCTTAACAGATTAGAGAGATGGGCCAAAACTAACAAAATGAAGTTCAACAGAGACAAATGCAAGATCCTCCACTTAGGCAGAAAAAATGAAATGCAAAGATACAGAATGGGAGATGCCTGGCTCGACAGCAGCATGTGTGAAAAAGATCTTGGTGTGTTTGTGGACAACAAGTTAAACATGAGCCAACAATGTCGTGCAGTGGCTTAAAAAGCCAATGGGATTTTGTCCTGCATAAATTGGGGTATAGTGTCTAGATCCAAAGAAGTCATGCTACCCCTGCAATCTCCCTTGGTCAGACCACACCTGCAATACTGTGTCCAATTCTGGGCACCACAATTGAAGGGAGATGTTGACAAACTGTAATGTGTCCAGAGGAGGGTGACTAAAATGATCAAGGGCCTGGAGAACAAGCCCTATGAGGAGTGGCTTAAAGAGCTGGGCATATTTAGCCTGCAGAAGGCACAGAGGAGACATGATGCCCATGTCGATCACGGTATCCTTCTGGGCCGCCTCATGGATATGGGGCTCGGAGGCACTGCTTTGCGGTGGCTTCGATCCTTCCTTGAGGGACGGACCCAGAAGGTGTTAGTTAGTTAGTTTTCACCTTACCTTCCCAGTTATAGTTTTACCAGGGCTCATCCTTTACTCTACTCTGCAACCACTTTCTGGCTAGAAACAAGTAGATTAAATGTTCCGGTCTCCCTATGGAAGCGAGAAGGAATAATCCTACTAATTTCCTGTTGTTGTAGGACCAACTCCTTTAGTTAAGATTTTATCTTAATTTCCAACAGAAAAATATGTTTTCCGTGTGGATGTTTAAATGATAAAATGGTGAACAACTGTGAATAATAATTAATTCATAACACTCAATGACATTAGAGGAGTGGTCCCTATATCATGTTTTGGGCTGGAAATCTTAGGGACTGGTAGGTATTTCACTGTATGCCAGCTGCAGCGTGTGTGGCACACAAACATAACAAAAACGTCTGAGTCTATGTGAAACAAGCAATAAATCATATATTTTAAAAAATATAAATAAAAGGTTTTCATGAGATATGTCATGTACAATTTATGCAAGTGTCTGAAGAGCTTTTAAGGGGTTAAATCTCTGGTTTGTTTGCTAGTAAATTTGAATTACTGTGTTGTGAAATGATGCATGTCTAAAAAACTGTATCAGCAACATGAAATGTTTGGAAAGCTCTGCCCTACCCAGTTACCAGGAAACAAACCTCACTGAAATCAATAGGATTTTATGTATAGCACTGATAGTAATTAGATTTTTTTTGATAAAGTTTTTTTAATGGGATATAATTGGCCCGTTGTATCCATGGATCCTATATCCGCAGATTCAACCCTATACATCTTGGTAATATTTAATAACAATAATAATTCCAAAAATCAAACCTGGATTTGGCCATTTTATATAAGTGGAATCATTTGGTCATGCTATTTTATACGATGGTACTTGAGCAACCACATAGTTTGGTATCAATTCGGGGTTCAGTAACCAAGCCGCAGCAGATACCATTGATTCAACATAATTATACATAGTCAAGTAAGGTAAATTCTCCTTTGAGCTGAATTTGAAGTGGCAAATCAGTTATAAGTGGTGTGTGAGAGTGCATTTTGGCGGGGAGGTTGATTTTTAAAAACAAATATTCTAAGATGGCTCATTATAACTCTGCATGCAAATTGCTTTTCAGGACACTTGTGTGTTTTTGCAGTGTTCCAATAAAATCATAACAGTGATCAATAGTCAGTGTATTGGTTTGGCAAGTGCACAATTTGTTCTTTTCCCTTTGGGTGTCAAATGACCATATTATGTCCCTTGATTGATTTCTATTCCATGAAAAGAAAGAGGCCATTTCTCTGCATGGGCCCACCAAGAAGATGACAGTTGTTGCATGGGAAGAAGTGACTGTTTTTTAAAGGTCACTTATACAGAAAGCAGAACTTCCCCTGGAGCACTGAGGAGTATTTCTAACTTGGAAATTCCTAGCCAAATTGATTGCTTGAATTAAAATTCAGATGCAGAGCACTGTTCTGTATTTCAACTGCATTTTGATATTTAAAAGTCCATGTCCATTTCAGCAGTCAGTGAACAGGACTCAACAGGGCAGTTGCTTTTCTGAGCATCTAGTCTGAGGAAGTTCAGCTGTATGAGAACCACAAGGCTGTAATATTCTGGATTGCTGGTGGCTGATATTTACATGACATTGGTAGTAAGTCTACTCTGAGTTTTAGAGTGCATCTGCACTGTAGATCTAATGCAGTTGGACTCCACTATGCAATGGAACCATGGAAGTTGTAATTTTACAAGATCTTTAACCTTTTCTGCCGAATTGTAAGGGTGCTTAACCAAACTACAACTCCCACAATTCCATAGCATTGAGCCATGGCAGTTATAGTGGAGTCAAACGGCATTAATTTTACCATGTAGGTGTACCCTAAGTCTAAACTTGAAAGGAGCCAACCAAGGTGCTGAACTTGACCAACAAAGTAAATTTGTTGTTGTTGTATGCTTTCAAGATTTTCCCCAGTTCATGATGACCCTAATGTGGGGTTTTAAAAGATTTAGTTGAAGGAGATTTGCCATTGCCATTATCTAAGGCCAAGGGACTATGACTTGCCCAAGGTCATCAAGTGGGTTTCTATGGATGAGCAAGGTATTCAGCTCTGGTTTCCTGAAGTCCTAGTTCAATACTTCAATCACTATGGTATATTAGCAGTAGGGATGGCTCCTTTAAAATGCAGACTAAATCTCTTAATTTCAAAAGACAGGTGTGCCGGGAGGTATTTGTTGATTAAAATCTCTCTCTTACATAAAATATTACTTTATTGTGCAATTAAATTTAGTGTACAAACTTAGTTGTCATTCAAGTTCCAGTGCCATTGTATAATATTAAATGCGGGTTTCCTGGAAAGAAAGAAAAAAAAATCCGGATAGGGCATGCCACAATGTACTAGGAAATATTTTTAAAAGAACTAGAAAACAGGAGATGGTTTCTGATGTACTGCTGCTAAGACTTCTGAGGCAGGAAGAAAAGGTGGGAAAACAGGAAAGTGTTAAGGCACTGCTGCAGTTAAAAGGAAGATGGGAAACAGGAGAGTGCTCTCTGAGGCACTGCTGCTAAGATTCTGCTATAGGAAAGCAAAAGTTTCTACAGTTCCCTTTAGGGGTCTAGGATTCAGTGGGTCCCAACCTTTGGTGCTCCAGGTGTTTGGGACTACAGCTCCCAGAAACCTCAGCCAGGAATTCTCAGAGCTGCAATCCAAAACACTTGGGGGACCAAAAGTTGGGAATCACTCACCTAGATGCAGACATGGGCAATGCTGGGTGCAATCCATCTAGAAAGCAGGAGAGGACTTTTGGAGGCATTAATGCTACAAAATCCCAAGTGGACAAAGGTACTGTTGCTATGACTGCTGAGATTTTTAAAAAGGCAAAATGGGAGGGTGATCTCTTCATTTCTGTGGTTAAAAAATGAAGAGAGGACAGAATACCCTGTAAACCTCTTGTGAGGTATTCAGTATAGATCCAGAAGTTCTAGGTACTCACTTGCTAATAAAACTTGCAAACCTGTATAATACAGCCATCTATAAGCAAAAGACCTTTCTAGTCCAATATGCTGTTGACCCAATGGTCAATCATAAAAAGACTTTCTATGCATTCCCCTCATCTCCCTTCCAGTACGTTCTTCACATGCTTTTGTCACAGGGACTGAGAATAAACTGAGAACTGACTCCTGCTTGTATCCTGAAGTTAAAATTTAAATATATTTAATGTATTTAATGAATGGTAAATCTCAATTACTTTAACAGAATTTAGTTTCTGATAAGCATTTTTAAGTTTGTAAATTTAATGTTGAACTCATAATAGATAAGGTACAGTATACAGTAATAGTAAATCATGCAAATGTCATTTTATAACTGACCTTTCAGTAACATGTGTTTCTACCTCAGAAATGGGTTTAACCGTTAACCACATGGCTTAAAGCATGTAGCTTTTCTGAATTATTTCCATGTTACTTTCTACTCACTCCCTTTGTTTCTACCACCTGACAAAGAGTTTAAAAGAATTCAGAATCTTGCACACTATTGTGGAATTGGAGTTCACCCTAGTAGAGGATAGCCTATTTTTGAGCTTTGGTTTTCTGGACCAACATGGCCATCTTCATTTTTGTAAGCATTTGCTATTATATACTCCATACACCCAGCAAATCACAGCTGCAGTCCTGCAAATTTCTGCTTCTGTGTTGGCTAATTTCAACATCAAAGTAGCAATGGTCTTTTGTGGAGGGGTTGACCTTCAAAATCAACTCCCTGATTCTAAATAATAACACTAAGAAGGAAGTGAGGTTAAAGTCTGTCTCTCATCTCAGTGTGTGTACGTGTAGCATTCAGACCCCATTTTTTCCCCCACAAATCCCAGACGT